GGGTTCATGTAACGCAGTATTATATAATTTTCAACAGAAAGATATATGTTTGGTAATAAATTTTTAATATTTTTTAGGTAATATTTGAAAAACTTTTCCTCGAAAATTAAGAAAACCTATTAAGCTTTTGTATAGAATTTAAAAATTAAAATAAAAATTTATCGGCAAACATCAATAGCTTTGTTGTGACTTCAACTCTGAACTGAAATCCACCCAGCTAGGCTCGAAAAAAAAAAATGCTGGAGTTGCAACTTTCTTTCGCGGCCTTCTCCCAACCAACCACCCACCCACTCATGCAGTCACCCACTCTCCCACCTGAAGGCTCTGCCAATACCTCCAAGCACTTAACAGCTCCGTGTGTGTGTCTGCCTGTCTGGCTGCCGGGGGGATCACAATTGTGTAAGCGGTTTGGGTTCGAAAACACTTTCGCATTACAAGTGTTTATCTTGCAACTGCAACTGCCACTGCCACAGAGATAGAGACTCCAGCTAAGACACTGCATCGGCAATATCGGCAACATTGTTCAATTCAATTGACACTTGTGGCCCGTTGTAACCTTTTGTTGCACAAAAAGGAGTCGCAACAATTTGCTTAAAACACACACGCATCAAAGACAATTGGCGGCATCTCTTCCCCCCCCTCTAAACCCCCTCTCTGTTAGCCTGGCTAAAAGGCAAATTGGTAAAATTTAATTTTTATTTTAGACCTTATTTGCCAGTAAGCCGATGTCTGCCCACGTTGCAGATTTACGATCAACAATTTCACTTTCCGTTGCACTTGCAATTACGCTTATATTTATTGGTTGGATGGCTGGATGGTACCTCGGATCTCCAGCTCTCCAGACTCCACACTCCTGGCTCCAAGCATCGATCTTTATCGCGGCTGGTCCATAAACCAAACTATATCCCCCGACACGGATAAACAATAAAACCAAATTTTATATTCAAATGCTTATAGTTATGTTTGCATTTGGAATATTTCCTATTTAGAGGACTGGCCCACGCTGCATGCTAATGGTCCTGGCTGGCCAACAGATTTAGACATAAACCTGTCACAAGGCAAGGCCCAGACTGAAGCCAAACCCCCAGACTCCCAGACATCCTGATGGAAGCAGAAGGAGGAGTGAGTACGGGTTCCATTGTGGGGGCTAAAGCCGTTTCCGACACCTTTTGCCACCCAACTGCAGCTGTGCCCCCGGGCCAGGAACACCGGGCCAGCAATTCATTCATTCCCCCAGCCCCCAGACCACAAAACTATACAAGTTGGATTTTTTATTAAAAAAAAAAAGCTAGTGAGAGAGCCTGGTGGGTGGAAAAGCCTTCTGGGAAACTGGAAATAAAAATTTAAATGATTTTTCAATAAATCGGTATTGGGCTTAAAGTCAGATTTTATTATTTAACTTGATGGTTATTTTAAAAATAAATATATTAAGGATGTACATATATAAGTATGGATTTCCTAGGGCCTACAGGGCGTATACGTGATGTGGTAAATACCCTATTCCAACACTCTTTATAATAAAATTCAAGCTATTTCCTTTAAATAAAACCTCAATAAAAATTATTAACAAAATACTTTCGAATTGGAAAGCTCTGGAGAGGAATCTATGGCCATCTCGAGCTCCGAAAATGCTCCAATGGCACTTGAGATCTGCTTTCTGGTCATTTGTTTGATTTTATTAAAGGTAGAGCAGAGCTATGTGGCTCTGTGACAAGTTTGCCGGCAAAATGCAAGCAAGTGCACCCATCGATGATGTTGTGTCTCGAGTGCTGAGGTAATGCTCTCCGGTCTACGATCTACGATCTCCGATCGCCCGACTCGAGACCGACACCGACTCAGCTCGAATCGAGTCAACTTTTCTCTCCGTTGGCTCTCGTCTGGTGGGGATCTGTAAGGTATATCTGCACACTTGGACCACAATTACCTAGTGCCGACTCTGTAATACGTTCAGTTCTCATTTTGATTTCCAGTGGTGCGATCGTGCGCTTCGCTACCTCGCCGGTGGTGCCACCTCCCCGCCACCTGCTGGATGTGAGGAGATCGCGATTGTGGAATATCCTTAGAGTCCTTAAGAGTGCCCTCGCGTGTGTGTGTGTTTGTGAAGTTGTGCCTGCAGTGCACTAATCACCAAAAAAAACACTTGATTTTTAAATTCGAAATTGTAGGCCTTTAATCTGTTATAAGATATGGTAGTCCTTGGAAAGGATAATTTTAATCTTAACTGTGACCTTGCAATAGATCCTCTTGAAAGCCTATTATTGGCAATTATTTCCGCCACAACACCTTCTGTGTTTGCCAAGTGGAAATATTGATTCTCGCTCTGTATTTGATCTTCCCAACCGGATGGCCATTAAGTTGAAATTGCCACCAAGTGTTTATTAATTAGTTTGTTCATCGATCGGATAAGTGGACTAGATTTGTTGTGCAAATTTGTCGATTATGGAACAGTAAACAGAAATCGAATGATTTGTGAGGAACAAACACTATAATAATGGAAACTAAAATAGTAACTAATGCTAGGAATATATTTTTGAAGTTAAAACACATTCTAAGCTTTGGTCCAGTTCTATAAATTATAATTATGCTAGAATTTGGTTTTCTGGGTTAACCAAAGTTAGTAGATTAATATAATAGGTTCTTTTAAGTCTGTCTTAATTTTCTAGCTATTTAGTTAATCACTTTGAAAGCTAGTATTGCTCTAAAAAAATACTAATATTTTCACTTTCCACAAACTGCCACAATTTTCACATCGTTACTGGAACATGTTGCATTTTAAGTATTAATTTATTCAAAATGCAGACTAAAAGAAAAGCCAGAAATTCCTGACAAACTTGTAGGCAACTCCTCAAGTCTTTAAGAAAAAAAATCCAAAAAAAAAAGGCGAAAATTATTCAACTGCCGGAACGGGCAGGTTAACCCAAAAAAGGCCTTACAAGGCAGACAGTTTTGAATACTTTACGTTGTTCATTCGATGCTGTTGGCAGTCAACTCATAAATATATATATATATATATTCATATTCATATAGATATAGACACAAGATGTAAGCCAGTCTAGGAGCCAGGTGGAGAGCAAGGAGTTGTAGGCGTTGTTGACAAGATATTTCCAGCAGTTGGGGGTTTAGTAATTATTTCTATAGAATACATTAGTGTTTTACCATTTGTTACACTTTCCACTCTAGTTTTGAGAGAAAGAGGAACTAAAGGGAGCCAGGAACTAACTGGAGTTGCAAATTTTGGTCAATTAGCTTCAGGTCTTTAAACAAATCGCCTCAAAAAAAAGGTAACTGGGTAGTGCTAAGGTTTATTATGTAATAAAAAAAAAATGCATAGAAATGTGCGCTAATTGTTGCATGTCGGTTCGGTCCTCAAGAGCATTTTTCTCACTTTGGTTTCGTGACGTTTCGAGAGATCTGTGATGGGCCAAGACCACTCCAAACTTGACTCTTTTTTGGACCAAGTGTCATCTGAGGTTTCCGGTTTTTAGGGTTCGTGGAAAATGTACATATAGTTGAAATATTGGTTAAACTTTAACTAATAAAGTACTTAAGATTCAACAGGGTGTACTTCGGAGTTCTCTCTAAGAAAAATTAAGTATACGCCCTGTTGTGACTTCTGAGACAGACTGTCCTAAATAAGCACAGACTCTGCAAATATTATTTTTAATTTTTGTTAAAATTTTAAACAATTATTTTAATCTTATGACGGAAATGGGAAAACCCAAAAAAAAATGAGACAGGCCTATCCCGATCATCTGATTCTTGCATTGTCTTGGAAATAAAGAAGCAGGAAGCTCAAAGGCTACAATAGAGCTGCAGCCATGACATAATATATATGGACATTAAATGGATATATATGCTCCTATATACGCCCCTATATATACCCCCAAGAGTACGCATTTAAAAGAATGCACTCTCGTGGGGCTCCGTGAAAAACGCAATTAATTGAGCGAATGGCTGACAAAAACTATATGTATATACTTGATATATTTTCTGGCAAATCTGAAAAACATATGCACTTATTCTGCTCTCAACTTGACATAATTTTATCAGCATCCACAATCCTTAAGATATTTTTAAACTGTCAACGCCCCCTCGAGTCACAAGCCACGCACCTTTCACACTTGACACAGTTCCTTGAATGGCGGGATATATAATTAATAATATTTATAAAAATAATATAGAGTCGCATGCCATTTTGGCTTAATTAGTTTGATGGCTTTGGCATTTGGCTTGTCTCTGACACTTTTTCTGACACTTTTCTGACCATTTTTAAGCAAAAGAATGCAAATATTTTGCAAACTGCAGCGCCAAAAATGACAAAGTTGAGTAATTAGTTGGCTATTTATAATAATAAAGGGGGGAAAGTGATTTAAAAATGAGGATTTAATAAAATAATATTTAAAACAATAAAAAATGGTTGATTTTCAAGTTCTCTCAGTGACGTTATTTTACTCCCCCCAGCTGTTTCACGCTCCCAAAAAAATTAAAAACAATAAAAATAAACATTCTCATTGTATTGGAGTATTTGTTTCCATATTTACTTACTTTGCAGTCAGGTTGGTAGTATATGGTAGTATGGCTTGCTCTAGATATCAGCTGGAAAAGATTCCAACGTGGCTCGCCAGATAATCGTATTTTCGTCATTGCGGATATAAGCCGACGAGAATCAGTTGTATATGAAGTCTATAAGCATGGTCACAGCTGTTGTTGTTTGATTTACCAATAATTGAATAAATTATCACCCGAAATTAGAGACCCCCCCTAAGATAAAAAAAAAAATGCTGCTACAATTCGTTGTGAAGTTCATTTGTTGTGAGTTGAAAAAGCTGAAGACCAACCTGACCATGTTTCTAATATTCTTCTGGATTATATGGTTCTCCCAAATCATAGCCATATCAACGGTCTTTATGAGGTACTAAGCTTAGTCCTTACAAATTACTTAATATTTAAATATATATTTAAAGTATGGCTTATTAATTTATTTTTTGTTTTGTTTTTAGTTTTCCAGAAATTATTACGGAGCTGCCGACTGTCACAGTGACAGAGCTGCCGCTGGATCATCTAAAGAACCGTCTGGAATCGGTTATATTGGACGATGCTCAGGTGCCAGCCGGCAACAGGAGCGAGGAGGAGACCCAGCAGCAACCACTGCCGCAGGAGGAAGCTGTCAAGGAAGTGCCTCAGAAGGGTGAGTAGAGACATCACCTTATTAAGAGTCTCATATCATTCAGATTTCTCTCCTTTATCAGATGAACAAGTACCGAAGATCAACGATCCTGGAGGAGGCATCGAACTAGAAGCCATCGACACTATGCCCACCATCGAGGGCAGTGGAACCAGCGAGGAGCAGGCTTCACCAAACGCCACAGAGTCCACGGTCAATCTGACGAATGGCAACGAGGAAGTGCCCATGCCCGTGTTCTCTGAGTGGGCGCAGAAACAGATCGAGGCGGAGGCCAGCCGGGAGCAGGCCATGGAGCTGGAGCAGCAGGTGGTGAACAAGTCGGCCCAGCGGAAGAACAATACCGGATCGGCCAAGAGCAAACTGCCCACATTGAAGTTGCGCTCCAAGAACTATGCCTCGCCCGATTGCGGGGCCAAGATCATTGCCCACAACGCCGAATCCAGTCACACCAGCTCCGTGCTGACCCAGTCCAAGGATGAGTACATGCTGAGCACGTGCGGCGATCGCATCTGGCTGGTGGTGGAGCTGTGCGAGGCCATTCAGGCCCAAAAGGTGGACGTGGCCAACTTCGAGCTCTTCAGTTCGTCGCCCAAGAACTTCTCGGTGGCGGTTTCCAAGCGATATCCCACGCGGGAGTGGAGCAACGTGGGTCGCTTCGAGGCCGAGGACAAGCGCAACATCCAGACCTTTGAACTGCATCCCCACCTCTTTGGAAAGTTTGTGCGCCTGGACATCACATCGCACTACGCCTCGGAGCACTTTTGTCCGCTGTCGCTGTTCCGCGTCTTTGGAACCTCCGAGTACGAGGCCTTCGAGACGGAAATCCGGCCCAGCGATGAGTTGGACGATTTCTACGATGACTTTGGCATGCAGGACCAGGTTGTGGGCAGTGGAGGCAACATCTTCCAGAGCGCCTCCGATGCCGTCATCCAAATGGTGAAGAAGGCCGCCGAGGTCCTGGCCAAGCCCACAAAAGCCCTCAAGTGGTCGGCCGAGTCGCTGCTCTGCCGAACACCCATCTTTGGGGCCTACACCTGCTCCAACTGCAACAGCACCCTGGTGGAGAAGATCAACAGCCTCATCTCGTGCCAGTTCCAGCATCTGCAGGTGCTCCTCAGCCTCAGTCGTTTAAAGTCCGATCTGGTCCACAGTCGCGTCTGCCAAGAGGACTTCGGCATCAGTCTTGTGGCGTCCCATGACTCCATGGCATCCCAGACCAGCAGAATGAGCAAGCAGCAGAGCTACTACCTCAGCCTCCTGCCAGCGGAGCACATCGGGGCCATGTGCAAGCTCCTGGAGGCGGAGAATAATGTGACGGAGATGCCGCCGGTGCGCCATCATGTGAGTGAACCACAACAGGATCCGGACAACGCCACGGCCAAGGGTGTGCGGGAGGATTGCCCCGCCAAGGACGTCCCGGCGAAGGAGCCAGCCACACAACCCAGTCTGGAGGTGCTCATGCCCGAGACCAGTCAGGAAGTGCCGTCAGTGCAGCACCACTCGACGACTTCGGGCGAAACCGCCTCCACCACCAACTCCACCCCAAGCGACGTCAATATATTCAACGTACCGCCCCATGCCGAGGAGGTGGGGGTGAAGGAACCACTGCCCATACCCTCAGAGCCCAATGTGGTCAGCACTCTGGAGCCCAGCGACGTGGAGACCTCCACCAACGCCCCTCCTGCTGCTCAAACCTCCAGCGAAGAGCCAGCCAACGGAGACACTCCCCTGGAGGAGGGCACTCCAGCCAACTGGGAGAACCTTGACAATCCGCTGACCACCACGGTGGCCTCGATAACCGCCGGTGGTGGTGCTGCTGCCGCGGCAGCTGCTGTGGTGACTGGTAATGGGAATCTTGGAGCGTCATCCGGTGGATCGCCACCAGCTGCTGGTACCGGGGTGAATCTCCAGCAGAAACTGACGAACGGCGCCCAGTCGGAGAGTGTCTTCATCAGGCTCTCCAACCGTATCAAGGTGAGTCGGCTGCCAGTTCTTCAATCATTCATGTGCGTCATCAAATAAACAAACAAATAGCCAGGCAACCACCCACCTGGGGGGGACTCTGGAGGGCAGGAGGAGAAATCCTCGCAATACCCTGGCCAGGAGTCGTATAATTATGGCCATAATCAGTTCCATACCGTATTTCTTCATCAAGGAGAAGGCATAGAATTAGGGTTAGAGGGTAGTATGGAATATATATTCCAATTAGAAGACTCCTATAGGCTACTATAGTTCCAAGGCAAGAGTACTCCCCATTCGGTTAGTGGCTCCATCTCCTAGTGACTTGTTTATAGTCCACTTGCGTGCTGGCTACCCATTACGAATGGCAGTCACTTCCCGTTTTGGACTCCACCCAAGGGCGGCTTCATCCTTGTAACAATTCTGGCATCCAGTTAGCTACCTTGCCAACCGACGTCATCGATACACAATTATATATGTGTGTACATATAGGACTACCCCCTAAAACTAAAACCATTTAGGAATACATTTAGAAAAATAATAAACTTTTCTTAAAAAATTAAAGGCAAGAGCTTGGCAATAAGGTTTAAATTTCAAGGAATAAAGTAAGCTTATTTACTAAAAAATAAATTTTAAATATTATCTATATAATTTTTAATATTAACATTATGTTAGTTACTATTTCTTACCGTGTACCACCCGCTATATTCACTAACTTGGTCTCTGGGTTTCGTTATTCTGTCTTCCACAGGCACTGGAACGAAACATGTCGCTGTCGGGTCAGTACCTGGAGGAGCTCTCGCGGCGCTACAAAAAGCAGGTGGAGGAACTCCAGCAGACGCTGACCCAGCAAACGCTGACAGTGCGCCAGCTGGAGGACCAGAGCCGGCGGTATGTGGAGCAGGAGCAGATCTACCAGCAACAGAGCGCCGAGCTGGCCGGCGAGGTGAGGGCCCTGACTTACCAGGTGCAGGCCTGCATCATGGTCATCATCATTGTGGGCACCTGCATCTTCCTGATGTTCGTCCTGGGCACCGTCTACTACCGAAAGCTACGCCGCCAGCAGCAGCAGCTGAAGAAGAATCAGCCACCGGTGGCCCCGGCCAAGCCGAAGCTGGATCGCCGCAAGTCCTACGAGCAGATGGTGAATCCCTCGACGCCTAAGCAGCGGCGTCCCAGCGAGGAGGCCATGATGATCCTCAAGGAGTGCGGTGACAACAACTCGCAGGAACAGGATTCCACAACCAGGCAACGGAAGATATCTGTGTGCTACGGCAGCAACAACAACATAGCCACCAACATGATGGGAGCCACCACGAATGGGGGCCCGAACGTGCGAAGCTCCGTGCACAAGCGGAAGGGAGCCAAGCACTCCTGGCACAACAGTCTGGACACCACAGAGGCGTCTTGCGGCGAGCAGACAGACAAGTTCTTCGATGTGGGTGAGTGTGGTTGAGATGTCCTCTTTCCAAGTACTCCTCTAAAGCTAAAACTACTTCCAGACACTCTCAAGAGCCTCAAACAAATTCCTGGAAAGGTGGCCAAGAAGAAGTCCCAGCCGCAAATGGGTCTGAAGAGGCAGGAGTCCGCTCCAGCCACTTTCACGCAGGATCAGACGTCGGAGGATCCGGCCACGCAGAGCGACTTCGACGAGAGCCTTATGCTGGACGATGACGACCTTGCCAACTTCATACCCAACAGCGACCTGGCCTACAACGAGTTCATGCCCGAGGGACCTTCGGGCTATCAGATACTAGACACGGTTGATGGAAAGACGGGCGGTGAGAAGTCCAAGTCCAAGTCGCGTCGGCTGTCGTCGCCGGCCTTCTTCAAGTCGCCCTTCAGCCGGAGCAAGAACAAGGGCTACGGGTTCAATGGCATCAAGAACAGCCATTCGGTGCACGAGCCCACCTCCTGGGAGTGGTATCGCTTAAAACGGAGCGAGAAACAGCATCAGATCCAGAAGGACAAGCTGGCCAGCAAGAGTCTGCCCAACGCCAGCCTGGACAGCTCCTCGCTGTCGGAGGTGAACTTCCCGCTCAAGTCCCCCAACGAAGCCACCCAGAACTCGTTCCGGATCCTTGGCGAGGCGATTCTATCGTCGGGCGAGGGACGCATTACACCGAATGGTAATGGCCTGGCCAGCAGCAGCAGCGGAAGTGGTAGTGGCAGTGGAGGAAGCACTACATCATCCACAACGAAAAAGAAACAGCGCGCCTTCAATAATCTGTTCCGCAAGGCCTTTGACTTTTAGTTGGAAAGTTGGATTAGATATCACCCAGTGTTTCGAGTTGATGGCAGTTGCAGTTTTATACCGACGCATATTGTAATTATTTGTATCTATTTGGGTCATAAGATTCATAAATTGTTTGTACAAATCAATTGTTATTTGAGGTCGAAGTCGAGGCAGAAAGTGAGAGTTCCTTTTTTTGAGTTGCAGTAAAATGCAAATGACTGTTAAGCGAAAAACAAATTTAAGTAGAGTACTTATTTTATATATATTTTAGTGTGCGCTTGCTTCGTTAGTGTATACGGCCGGCCAGCTTAGGTTAGTTATTATTTAAATCTAACTATATTCCAAGCCTCGTTATTCTTGCTATATCGTAAACCCAATCCCAATCCAACGATTATTCTTCGCCACCATTTAGTTTGTTATCCGTAGCAATTCTACATGCAATTAGTTAATAGTATAGACTTTATTTATATAAATATATAAAATTAAATACAATTAACATTTATTTAAAAAACTTAAATCGTATTTTTGCTAACAGATCCTCAAATATAAAGATTATATTTTCAACTCGCCGAGAAAGTCGGCCACCTCGAGGGCATCGTCCAGGGCGAGCTTCTGCTCCTTGACGGCACTGTTCAAGCCGCGACCGGCGGTGCCAAACTGTTTCCTCCACTGCTCCACGGTTTTGTACTTTTCATCGTTGGCGCAATACACAACCTCGTTGATGTCCTCGTCCAATTTGTAGCTGCACACGGCCGGAAATACTTTCCGCAAGCCTTCCATGGCAGAGCCACGGAGGCTCTCATCGCGGCAGACCAGGTTAAGCATGAAGAGGCCCTTGGGTCCGATGATCTCCTTGATGTGCTGCAGAATATCAATGGCCAGGAAGCTCTGGGGCGGACAACTCATGCCCAGGCTGAGATCTTTGCTGTCCACATCGAACAAAACGGCATCAAAGTGGATATCTGAAGGGGGGGAAATATATTATTAGGCATTTCATTCAAATACCTCTCCTACAACTGACCTTCATTTCTACATCGCTCCACAAAGGCCAGACCATCATCGATGACCACATGGAAGCGTTTGTCCTGCTTAAGTTCGAAATATTGTTCAGCCACCTCCAACATAATAGGATCTATTTCCACAGCCGTGATTCTAGCATGACTATAATCCATAAAATATAATTAAAAAATAGAGGAAACTAATAAAAACTATATTTAACATACGGTAGAGCAGCATGAAGAAAACTGCACAGGCCACCGCCTCCTAGGCCAACAACAAGCACATCCTTCTCCACATCCTTTCGCGGATTCTGCAAAGTGGTGGCCAGCTGAACGCCCACCGACATGTACAAGTGATGCTGGCAAGCCAAGTAACCAAAGTCGATCTTCTTGCGCTCCTTCTTGCCTTTAATTTTGACTGAAATTGAAAGTTTATTAAAATAATTAAGAAATTATTTAAATTTTAAACCTTACTTGTTTTAACCAAAGCCTCTGATTGCACTACAAACTGATTGCTGAGGAATATGAGTCGCCGCAGGGTTTTCCCGTTGGCCTCCACCTCCTCGATTCGAAAATCACCAGATATTTTCGAGAAACCACAAATCAGTGTCTCCCGCTTGCCCACATCGGAGCCCAGGGACAGGTATGGTATCTGATCGGTGAGACCCGAAGGCGACAGGTTCTTTATGCTGTCAGCTAGCTCCAGCTTCACCTCGTCCAAGGTGCTGTAAACCTGATCTCTGTGCAGGGTGACCACAGCCAAGCGCTGGAAATTGGCAGACTCCTGCAACTTCTTGCGACCCTCTGGCGTGCCAAAGAGCCACTCGATCTCTCTTCCCTGCGGCACAATGAACGCTGCATACTTTCCCAGACATCGGGCCGGGGGCTGGTCCAGAATATGTATGGTATAGCGGGGATCGGTCTCGGATGGGCGATGCAGATCCATGGTCACCTCGTTGTGGCCAGCAATGCTCGACTTGGCCAATCCATTGCACACCAAAGCAGCCTTTTGAACAGACGACACGGCATTCATGAGATCCGATGAGGCAGTGAATCGCTGCATCTTGTCATTGCCTAATCCGAACTCGAGAATCTGAAAGAGTTATGCGTGAGATCTGGTGGGATAATGCTCCTAAACTAAGCCTTACAGGCATGGGAAGACTCTTGAACTTTGTGGCTATGACCACAAACACAGGTAAGGTCAAGGCATCATCAGAGTTCTTCTCTTTGTTGGCCTGCTCCACTCCGAGGCAGTGGACGATCCTTAACATGCAATTATTACGAGGTAGATAGTCTAGCAGGAAGCTGAGGATGTGCTCCTGCAGCAGGGAGATGCACACATAGCGACCTCCATTCCTAAAACAAATAAAACATTAAAAATTTATAAAATAAATGGAAAAAATAGTTAAACACCTCATGGTCCTGAGTATTCCTTTAAAATAGTTCTCCACAACCAGTCTTGTCTCCTTGGCGTCGTCCGCAAACAGAGCATCCAGGGTACCTTTGTCCAAAGCCACTGAGAAACTCTCATCCGTGAAGGTCATGGCAGTGGCATCCATTTGAAGGAACTTCATGTCTGGTCGGGATTTGGCATTAAGTTCCAACATTTTTTTGACAGCAACAGGTGATATATCAATGTTGGTTATGTCTCTAAAATAAAATTTTTAAAAATTATATATGACTAATTAATTAATAAATCATTAAATTTTATAATTAAATCTTTTTTTGGATAAAATTTTAAAATTTAAGCAAGAGCTTTTCTTTTCTAAACATTGTAGTTTTGTATACGCGAAGTTAGTATTTTTTCGCGAGTAGCCGTGCGCTTGAGCGGCTATTTCTCAAGTGTCCAGACAAAGCTTCCCCCTCTTAAGTTTTAATGACTCCCAAGACACCTCACCCCATTTCAGGATACAAACTAATTGAGAACTTTTTCGCGAACGTACCTAAACCCGGAGTCGTACATGTCCATGCTCAGTTTTGAGTTACCACATCCTAGCATTAGAATTTTGTCAGCCGGCTTTATGTATTTGTGTATCTGATCACAAAGCTCCAAATATTCGCCATACCTAAAATTAGTTAGGACATTTAATAGTTTTTATATAAAAACACATGTTGCTCCATAATGTCTTAAGGTGTCTGAACATCATTTTGTTGAATACTCACCATTCAAAGGCCTTTTCGCCACGTTTCTTGAAGAATTCGTTCCAGTAGTCTGTCTGAGCGAATTCTTCGCGGGTTTTGGGAAGTAAATTCATTGTTTTTATAACAATAAACAAGGTGCAAATAATAAACAACAAAGCGGCAAAATGTGTTCAGACCAATGCCATTCCAATTGAGTTCTGAATTCTAGTGTGACCAGCATTGGAAAGAAGTCAAGAAATAAATGAAAATTTAAATTGGATATTTAATTTTAAATTAATTTAGATTTTAATTACTGTCTTTACAACAATCTTTAAGAGTTTATAAATTATACACTTTTATTACTTCTTAATTAAAAATATGGATTACAAATACATTTTCATTTTCTTACAAATATATTTTGTTTGTACTATAACTTTGTATGCTTAATTTTTTATATTCCATTTAACTCATTTAAATATTTATTAAACTTACAATAAAAATAATTAAAGTTTAAATTTAAAAGTTTCCCAACACTGACTAGATTAAATAGTGTGACCATATGCTGCCATTCACCGCGAGCCAGCGACAAGTACTGATTGGACAATTTCTTCGCCTAGGCAATCTCGCAATTTGTTTTCTGCGATTTAAACTCTATTTACATAACGATTCCCAGGGATAGCTGGGCTTTCCATAGCGCCCAAGACCAACCTCCAGGCGGCACAGCTGCCAGCAGTAGGATACAGCCCAGGGCTCAGCCACAATCGGCAGGAGAAAGCAGTGAGAGTTGGCTGAAAAGGGGGAGGAGGCTCCTCCAAAGAAATCGACATTGAGCACTCCACTTTGCACTTAATTGATTTGTGACGATGGCACCCAACTGAAGCAACGGATCGGCAACCAATGCGAAGGAAATCGGAAGCCGGATCGGGACTGGAACTCGGAATCGGGCGCAGGAGTAGATGCGTGCGGCCGTTGGCCTGATGCTGTCGCACGGTGGTGCTGGCCTGGAGCCAGCGATGTCCCGGCCGGACTACGAGCAGAGCGCCCTCCATCATGGTTGTCTGCTGGTGTTGCTCCGCGGAGTGGGACCCTCACGGGCCCGCATCCTCCAGAGGGCGTTCGAGAAAGTGCGACGTGTCAGCCACATCCGGGTGAATGGTATGCAAAAAGTTCAAGCCTCCCATTACTTTATCTAAACCTTTCTGTTCACTTCCCTCAGACTCATCGGGCAATCCCCGCTCTATATGGATTCGCTTTGTGCACGATCATCCCGTGGAGCATAATGACTGGGGCGACTTTCAGACGCATCGCCGTTTGTTGGGACTCATCACCATTGGAAAATTCGATAACCAAACCGAGCTGAATGAGCTTTGCCGCCAGCACGAATCCCTAAAGGTGCGCTACGGTTCCACGCTGTACGAGTCCCGTGCCATTTTCTTTGGACCCGATGAACCCCCTCTGGAAACCATTGGCGAGGCTCAAGAGTCGGCCCCAGCACCAGTAGCTCGACGCCTGCAGGATGACTTCACCACTCCCTCTAACTTCAAGTCTCAGGCCTTCTTCTACCGCGAACAGGATTCATGTGCAGATCTGGAATCTCGGATCAGTGACTTTGCAAGCGCTTTGTTTTGGGTCCTGGAGTCGAGGCGACTGGAGCGATCCAGGGAAAAAGCGGACAAAGTAAGCCTGTTGCTGGCGCCCTTCGAGAAGCGTGACTTTGTTGGCTTGGACATGGAGTCTCGCAATAACCGAAAGAGGTGCGTTGGTCGGGTGATGAAGAACCTGGCCGATCTGTCCCTGCAAGCTGGACTGGTGGAAGAAGCTCTGAGTTTATACCACAATGCTAATGAAACGCTGAGGTCGGTGGGGGACTCCCTATGGGTGGGGGCCACAGAGGAGGGACTGTGCGCCGCCTCCGCCATTCTGTTGTATCCCCAAATGCGTGAAATCGAAACTCTGCACAGGAACTCTTCGCTCCAGGAGGCAGGTCAGTATTAAAAGTCGCTCTAAAGTCCAAGGATTATTTAAACTATGTTTACATGCTCCTTTCAGGAACTTCCCCGCTTAAAAGCACACCAGAAAAGTGGCGAGCCAGTGATGCCACCAAAAAGGTTAGCTCCAATGAAGCTACTGCCAACAATGTTGATTCTGGAGCAGCTACGGTGCGACTGACGTCGAATTCCTCTTCCTGCTCTTCGGTGTCTTCCCTGGTGACGACCGCCACCAATTCCTCAGCCTCGGACACGCCCACCACGTCGTCATCTTCCACTTCGACGTTGTCGGCAGCCCCGATACCGGGACACCATCGGAACGGAGAGCTACCGGGCAACATACTCAAAGCGGAGGAGATCACCAACTACTACAGGAAGGCCATCATCAACTACAGCAAGTATAGACACGCGGCCACTGTAGAAACGGAGGCTGCCCTGAAGGCTTCGCGGATTTGTATCGAGCAGAATCGTCCCCTGGACGTGGCCATGTTCCTGCAGAGTATCATGTACATAAACCTGAGCATGACCGAGGCTGAGCGGGTAAAGAGGTTCGAGGTCATTACGGAACTGTATCAGCAAATTGGTTACCAACGAAAGGCGGCATTCTTCCAGCGACTGGCGGCCCTGAAGCACGTCCAGCAGGGCTCCCAGGCACCGGACTGGAACCAGAGCTATCGCCTGATGTTGGGCAGCTTTACGGGCTATCTACTCTGTCTGGATCCACTGGAAGTGCTGGAAAATGCAGCCGGCTGGCCATCTCTGCAGATCGATCTGGTGCAGAGTCTCATAACAGCCGCTAGAAGATTGGGGCACTCGGCGTTGGCAACGCGGCACATGACCTTCCTTCTGCAAACGCAATGGGACAACATGACACTAACGGAGCAAAGCGAGATGGCTGTGCAGTTACAAAATTTAAGCGCCCAGTGCGAGGGTTCACCGGTGCCCCTGGTGCTGGAGAACGGCACTGTGATACCACCCGCTAATCTCACGGATCTGCCCTATTGCCTTGATTTGCAGGTCAAGGATTTGCCGGCCCATCTGCGACCGCAAAGGATAAAGGTGGCCAAGGCGGACAGTGGACCCTTCCTCTTCACCCCCATTCATTTTAATTCGATGGACAGAAGGGACAAAAAAAAGGATAAAAATAAAATAGGTTTGTTTCGCAAACATTGGATGAACAAATGGGATCTAACGTCTCCTTTCTTTCAGCTTTCTCGTGGGTTCAAAACGACCTAAGTGAGGTGACTGTCCGGCTTCGCAATCCCTTACCCTTCGAGCTGCCCGTCACGGATATGAGATTGTTGACCAATGGCGTTGTCTTCGAGTCCCTACCCCAATCGATTGTGTTGCAGCCACATGTGCCTACCTATGTCTCACTTCATGGCACGCCCATTGAAACGGGGCAGCTGGATCTGCAGGGCTACAGCACCCACACCCTGGGCGTGAAGTCCAACTGCCGGTTAAAGCACATGCGAGGGCGGAATTTTCCGCCCAACTATCTGGTGGATGTGATCCCGGCCTTGCCGCGGATAGCTGTGAAAACTTCTCTACCCCAAACGGCGACGTTCAGCAACATGAATAGTGCCGATATTGTGGTGACCTCCGCCAGCTTAACGTTGTATAATGGCGAGTCCTCCAGCTGCACCATAACCATCACAAATGAGAGTGCCACACTACCCCTCGAGCATCTGGAAGTGAACATAAACTCTAATGTGGAGCAGGAGCTACAAAAGAAGATCTTCCGGATAGACGAAGAGGCTCTGAATGTGAGGCCTTAAGTAACCCAGACACTTCCTAGATTTCTAAAATGACTTTTCTTTACAGGCGAAGCTCCCCGTTCCTCCCCAGGGATCCATCGACTTTGAGCTTCTTGTTTATGCCGAAGCGGATTTCGTGTGTCCTCTGCCACCGGCTTCAGTTCATTCCAACGCTGCCGCTGGGGACTATGGAGCTTCCTCGTTGCCGCACCCCTCCACTATGTCAGCCTCTGGACATGCCAGCCTGCCATCGAGGGTCAGTTCCCCACAGCATCGTCGCAACGAGCCCCAGAATTCCAGTTTTCGCTCCACGTTCTCTGGCGGTCAGCACTCGTTGGCGGCATTGAGTCTACAGCCAGGAAGTGGTGCCGGCCCGCCCAGTCTAAGTTCGCAATATTCCCAGCACATAGAGGCGCAGGTGCGAATGAAGTACTCCGGCGGTGAAGCTCTAACGGCGGGTTACTGTCGCCAGTGCGCGGTATCCCTAAACTTGGAACTTTTACCCAGCGCCCAGATCACCAGTTGGGATGTACTACCCGCTGAGATGTAAGTGTAATATATGTGGGCTATATCTTTGCCAATTATTATCCGATTCTTAAACGGAGTACCTTAAACGATTCGTGGATCGATTCCCTATATTTTGCATCAAAATCTAGTTTCTTTTCAATCTGAAGCTCAGCCTCTCCCTTGTTTTATTTAAAAGTGTATCCTTATTTTTTCCCTAGAGCCTCACAGTTCTATCTGGTGCTGGATATTTCCAACCTAACCGCTCAAGAGATGTCGCTCAATTATACAGACACCAAGAATATACTCATCGAGGCCAAAGAAAGCTGTCGGGTACCCATACCCGTGGATCGCTGCTCCCTGGAGCAAGTGGTTGCCGCCCGAGCAGCCGAGGTAGCAGAGAATCTTGAGAAGGGTAAGGTGTTTTATGTCCCGTAACTCCAGCTACTAATTTTAAAAATGTTCTTTTACTTAGAACTCTGTTTCCGGACGCAGCTACTGTCGTTCAATGATGCTCTAAGCAAACTCTGCTCAACGCATATAGCTGAGAGGGTGAAGATCAATTGGCTGCTGACCGGAACAGACATTCAGGGAATTGCGTCGCTACGTGGGATTGTGCTTTCCCAGTCCATGGTGGACTTGACTGCCGTGTCGCCTTTGCAATGGGGTAGGGTTAAAAGATACTTTATTTAAATCTGTAATGATTTAATCCATTTTTCCAGCTATAAGCTTCCAGGATACGCCTGTGCAACCACACAGCGAAATTGTGTCCACGGTGGGACAGCGTTCTCTACTGAGCATCCAATTGACAAACCAATCGCTGCAACCTCTCAGAAACTTGGTGCTAAGCATCAAGTTTTATCAGGATTACCTGAATGGAATGGAGAATTACAATTTGGAGACACGCGTGGCCATTTCAGGACCAAACAAGTAGGTCTCTGTACTCCATTTTCTAATTTATTTCTAAATTCATTTTCGTTTCATTCGTTTTCATTAGAATTGCAATTCCCCTGCTGGAAAAACAAGAGCAAAAACAGCACACTTGCTCTGTGATATTCTTTACGCCCGGACGCTTCAAGGCAAGTGTAGAGTGCTGTAGTAATCCCCCAAAGGAGCAACCGTCAGCTGTGTTATCGAGATCCTGTCCTGCCGGAAATTTAGAAGAGAACGCCTCCCTGTTCACCTCCAGCTATGACGAACAGCAAGCTCATGTGTGGAAATTTATACCGCCCATCGAGGTGACCGTCGTGGAGCAGTAAAAAAAATGTTAACTGTCGCTAGTTTAATTTCGTTATTATTATGTTTATGTATGTATTGTGTGTATACCCATTCCTTGTAATCCGCGCTGTTATAACTGAACACGAAAAGCAATTGTTTGTAAAGAATTCTAAACTAGATGCAAAATAAACGCATAATCTTGTACATAAGTAAGCTCAAAAATCAACATTCAATGTACTACACTATGCTTAATAGATCGAAATGGCCATAACATAATTATTATAGAATCGTACAGATCACGCCTTTAAAAAAAAAAGCATGCATACATAAACCAATCGTTATGACGTGGTGTATTTATATACATACATAGATAGAAAATGTTCCGCGCACTAAAAAGCCACGCCAAGCATTATACATTTTGATAAGCAAACTCGTATTTACAAATATTTTTATACAACAATTACTGGGGCAATACACATGTATAATTATAAACTAAAAATTAAGATTGTTGCTAAAGAAATTATGCCAATGAAATGTGTGAATACTTGTAGTCTAAATGCAATAAACTCTATTTGACGAAAATGAAAAGTCTTCTAATTGAGCTTCTCTCATCCGAGTCTTCGTATATCGTCCATGGTGAATCCGGAGCGGTTGAGGAGAATGCAGGCGAGGACATACACGTAGTATCCACCGGGTATAATGGTCAGAGCTCCGATAATAGTCAGTGCCCAAACCCGATCCAATCGCTCTCGTTCCGTATCCGTGAGCCAATCCAGAGTGGCAAATATGATGCAGGTCTAGCGACAAAGAAAAACATTCTAAAATTAAATTGTCTTATTTATTGTTTAAAATCGCTTTAACGACATTATTTACGATCAGGTATGTATATTTCCTCGGACACAGTATAAAATTCAGATTTCAAGTTGATTTTGTTAAAAAATTGAGGAGGAATTTTGAATTTTTATTCAAAATATTTAATAGAATAATTTTAACCAAAAACTTTTGATAAAATTTCAAAAGTTACCCCTAGAAAGTGTGTCAAATTCAAAATATCAGAATGTATTACTAATTTCAATAGAAAATCATATTAATTTTGGATTAGCTGTCATTAAAAAAAGGGGGGATATACTCACTATACCGCCGCAAAATAGAGTCAGGATAATGAAAATGGTTTTCCAGGGTGTTGGGCCGGGAAGCGCTGGTTCCACCCATTGCTCATTGCTAAATCCATCTGTCTCACACACTGACTCCACCACCTTGATATACTCCGAAACAGGTGGCGAGGAGCTTCCAGCGTTTAGACGGCGTCGCGAATCCGTTTTGGTAGGTTGCATTTTTGGGCTTACTGGCTGATCTTGACGGGTTCTAATTTTTAACTGAAAAATTTCGCGGCGATTCTGTGTCAATGTTATCAGTGACTAACAGCTGTTGGAGATGCCAACCCGGGGAAATAAAAATAAAATACAGTAAGCCCCAGCTAAAGTTACTATTAATGGAGTGAACAATTAGAGTTCTTTTTATAGTAGATTTTTAGGTTATATTATATTATGTGCTTTATATATTTGGACACAAACGATAGACTTCTCAACGTTCTTGAAATTTATTTATATTTAATCGCCTTTCACTAAGTTGGCAGCCCTTAAAAAGGTTTCAAGAGTTAAACAAGTAAATTTAAGAATTTTTTTTTTACAATTTAACAATTTGTGTGAGGAGTTCTAGATTTTTGTTCTGTTTTCCCAACCGAGAGCTTTATTTCATATTTTTAATTTAAAAATTTAGGTAAAACAGGGTACAACTAATAGGGTAAAGTACTTTTTAAAAGCATCCGCCTTAATTTCAATTATAATGCGTTTCCAATCATTGGCTTTAACTAAACGCCTATCAAACTTTTTAAGTCGCCAAAGTCGGGAATGGGAGGTTCTTGAACTTTATAGGTTTTTAAACTTTTTATATTGAAGTTCAAGTTTTATTTTCAATATCGATTATAAAATTAAAAAATATAACATTTTCTTTAAAAAACTCTCTTAAGGAGGGCTTACATTCATCATGATCACAGTCGGTTACCCCTAATTAAATAACTTCTTACTGTGCAAATCAAGTACCAGATCGATAAGCTATGTATGTTTATACCCTTGCAAAGGGTTAAATAACTTAGGTCGAAAGTGTGCACCGCAGTGAAGTAGGATCACCTCGAGATCACCTCCTGAGTTGATATAAGTATGTACGAAATCTAGTCCCTCAGATCCTTAAAAATTTGTATTACAAGAAATAGATTTTGTAATGGAATTTTTTTAAGGATTCTTAGAGGATTCTCTAAGTCGGATATATGCGATATTACGATCGATCTTAACTACAAAGGTATATTTACTTCGCCTCCGCCCAAAGGAATCTTTCTTGTTTTTCTTTTTGCGGCTTAGGGTGTTGAACTTTCCTTCCATTATCACTAGACTTTGGTATCGGCTTTTCTATAAAAGACAGAAACCTATTCGTTTTGGAATCAATCATGTTCCGGCAGCTAACATTTAATTGCACGTTTTTGACTTTAATTTATGGTCTAACAGCCTCAGTTTGTCCCTCCTTATTTACCGAAGTGGGGGAAAAATGTTATTTTGTGGGTGAAGAAAGGGTAAGTGATTAAAAAAACTAAAACACAAAAATTTAATCTTTTATTTTTATGTTAATTGGTATGTAGCCTCTCGCAAATGTGGCCAACTCGGAGGCGAATTGATGGTCCTGGATGACAATGAGGATCGCCTTTTGGCAACCAATTTCCTCAAGAGTCGGGGATATTTAGCTAAAGATGAGTGGAACAGTTCATTATGGGTCGGTATTGATTGTCTAGGAGATCCACGAAACTTTCGGAAATCAAAAAATGGCGAAGTTCCGTATCTCCCTTGGATACCAGGGGAGCCAAATAACCACCACTCTGAGGAGGAATGTGTGTCATTTGGCTACTATCATCAGACCTATGGCTATTTTGATTTCAAATGGGAATACAAGGCTCCTTATGTATGTCAACAGCCAAAAATTAAAGAGAGTTACGTTTGCCTCAAAAAAGAACTATTTTTGGAGGTGCTCCTTTGAAGGAATCATTTCTTCATTTGCAAATTATTTTGCGGCCCGCCACATCTAAGACTTGCCAACATTTATTTAATAATAAAATTTCTATATTTTCGTTTTTATAAAGTATAAATATATATTTTTGATCAGCATCTACAGATGGAATGACTGTAATGGAATATGGAAGATTTTCCTTTCAATCAATCCATATTTTTGGTGTACTTCATAGCGATGAAACCTGCAATAATAAATGTAAAAAATATTATATCTCGAAATAGGTATAATTTTAAACAATGGAATGACAAATAATTTCAGTTCTACTATAATGATAAATCAATCATAGACATCAGATGTCCCTATCATGGTTTTCATCACAAAAATTATTTAAAATTCCATCTATTGTTGAAAAATACTTACAACAAAAAATGAAGGCTGTTCAGATGAGACCCGTTTTTCTGAAAAATATAAATTTGAAATTAATCAACCTTATTTTTTGAATAAAATGAAAAAGGTAATATGGATATTTTCTATAATCAGTTCTACTATCATGATAAATCAATCATAGACATCAGATGTCCCTATCATGGTTTTCATCATAAAATAGATCTAAGATAAATATTTTATTCAAACTTACAATTTTATATTTATCATTAAATGGGTAATGTTTCAAACGCTTAGTTTACCAACATAAATATCTGAAAAGAAATAGTCTTGTATGAGTATATTTTTAGTAAATAATTTATTTAAAAGCATTATATAAAAGAATATCAGTTCTACTATCAAGATAAATCAGTCATAGACATCAGATGTCCCTATCATGGTTATCATCATCGAAATATATATATTTTTTGTAATATTTAAATAGTCTTACCTTCTCTAAATAGTCGTTTCATCTTGATTAAAAAGTCAGCCTGAAAATAACGAAAATATACAATTATATTAGCTTTGAATAAAATTTATAACGCATAATTATACATATTTTTTTATAATCAGTTCTACTATTAAGATAAATCAGTCATAGACATCAGATGTCCCTATCTTGGTTTTCATCAGATTAAAAATGCTTCCTTTTATAATTAAATATTGACTTACCGAAACCGTTTTCTTCTAGGTTTTTTGATTTCATACTCAATTTGGTCTGAAAATAGAGAAAATTAATATTAGCTTTGATTAATAGCATTTAATTTATTTAATTTTTTTTGGTATAGAAAGCTATTTAAATTCTTAGGTATAATTAAATGGATATTGTATTATAATCAGTTCTACTATCAAGATAAATCAGTCATAGACATCAGATGTCCCTATCATGGTTATCATCAGATTAAACTAGTAATTTTCCGGACTATTAATTTTACTTACCTTATGATGGTTCCATTATGGTCCCCAGAAGTCTCAACCTGAGACATCTCTGTGGGGCTTTCAAAGTATATGTCATAAAGTTCCCGTAGAACAATATTTCCATATGTTTTTATTTTATAACATGCTTCAAAAGCTCGTTGTGTTTAGTGTGAGCTAAACTTCTTCCAGATTTACTTATTTTTTCGGTGGAAATCATTTTTATTTGTAACTCGTAGTCCCTCGATCTAGCAACACGTGGTGGGAATGCCAAGAAAAAAATGAAATACCAGACGATGGAAGTCTGGTATCTGGTATTTTTCAAGGGAGGGACCATTTTCAAAAATAATTTAAATCTATACAACGCAACAGTCTTTTTCTATAGTTTTATTATATAAATAGATATTGCGAATTGGAGGCAGCTGTGGATACATAACTTATCCTAAACAGTTCCACAGCTCGCATCCTAATTGGCCAACAAACTATATTGCTTAATTCTTACGAATACATGGCAGTCGGCGACCTTGCATGTTACTAATCAAAACCAACAAAAATAATCTCGCTCGCTTTCAATTGACTCGCATTTCACAAAATAAATCTTTTAAATATAATGAAAACGGTATTCAAATTTATATAAATTATTTAAACTTTTATCGAAAAAGTTGTCACACTTTTCAATAAACTATTGCAGAAAAAAATTCTTGCATAAAATTATAAAAACAATATTTAAAATAACGATAAAAATGTTCAATGAGTAAAATTTTTTGAGCCTAAAAATTAAATTTCCTAGTTTGGTTTGACTTTAAGACAAAGTTTAAGAATAGAACTATCTAAAATGATTAACAAAATGGTTGAAAAACATTTGAAAAAGTAGTTAACTAAAACACCAAAATATATCTGCACCATTAGTTTAAAATATCTTAGTTCTTGATCTACGAGTTTGCATTAAGCGAGCGATTTATGTATGCTCTAATTATGTCCTAGCATTTTCACGGATCTTCTGCTGTGGATGTGGAGGCCTCTGGTTGATGCACTTGCTCTTGTTCCTGTTGCTGTTGAAGGCGAAGACGCTTTTTTGCCTGAATATCGGCTAGCGTCTGTTCGATGGATCGCATGTCCTTCTTGTTCTTGCTGGGCACGAATCCATAGCTTTGGTTGGTCTCCGTTTTGCGGGCTGCTTGTAAAGCAGCTGACTCACCGATTAGGTGGGCGTACTTGGCCTTGTAATTGCTTGTGGGTTTCACCTCGCCACCATTCGCATCGCCGGATGTGGAAGAGGAACTAGCTTCGGAGGTGGCGGCCTCCTTGTCGATTTGCTCTTGGGCCAATCGATCTTTTCGCCGCTCCGCATATTCTTTGGCTATATCCGCATTCCAGCCTTCGCCATTACGGCGTGCCGTCACTTCATCCTCGCTGGGAGCGTTTTCCTTTTTGTAAACCACCGAATGTCGATCGACATCCTCACGGCCGAAACTCATGGCTATGAAGCCGCCGTTTTCGGCTATTTCGTGGATCACCGATCGATGAACCTTGTCCAGCGGCTGGAACTCGATGCATAGTCTGTCGTCCTTGGCGAACCGCCCCATTCTTTCTTCGACATATTTTCTAAAGCGGAGTAACTCCTCCTTTTGTTTGTTCTGCATGCGCTCCATCATTTCGCGCTGCTTTTTAATGAGCGTCTTCTGTCGCTCGTCCGCCGCTGGCGGAGCGTCCATGGCATTCAGTATCGAGTCCAGCAGGTCCATTTTCCTCCAGTTATTTTTCGCCTTTCCCCGCTTTTCCTACCGCTCTTCCTCGTTGTTGGTCAAATTGCGCTGCGCCTGACGCCATCGGAAAAAGCCAAAAATCTCTGTCAATCGGCCGCACTCTCGTTGTTTCGGGTATTTACTTTAGCTTACCCCTCTCTGGCGGTTATTATTAGCCTGTCGCAGTGTTTGATTCACGTTGTTTTGCTTGTTTTATTTGTGTAAAAGTAATTTTAATTATATTGGCAACCGGTGCTTGTGCACCAAATAGCGAATGGTGCTGCCAACTTGTGTTTTAACAGTATTTTAGTATTTTTCATTTCACAACAGCTGTTTAAACTAATTAACAGGAAAAGGGTTTGTTTCTTTGGCCAAGGTTACATTGTAATTGTAATAAAAAAACAAAAACAAAAATAAATTAGAAATATAAATAAATATATAGATAAATATAAATTAAATTGAGAATAGTTTTGGAAATAATTTGCTAAGTTCTTTAACTTGTCATCTCCTAATTAAAGGCTTTTTTGTATGTTGAATTCCTTTAATGAATGTTTATCGTACTATTCGTCTGAAATATCCAACATTGATCGGTTTTTGTTTAATGGGATCATATCCTTTTCGTCCTCTTTATGAAGAAATGCTGTAGTTTGTTGGCTAGTGTTTATAAGCCTTTTTGTCATCAGGCTGGCAGCACTACATCATCGCCAGGCGCGTGTCTCGTGTTTGAAAAACATTTTCCTCATTTAAACAGAAACAAACCCGTTAATTCGGATGGACACGTGCTCCAATGGATGCCAAGCACGCCACACTAGTCCACTGGTTCCGCAAAGGTCTCCGTGTCCACGACAATCCTGCATTGTTGCAGATTTTCAAAGTCGCCAATGGGACTCCCGGAAAATACTTTGTGCGTCCTATTTTTATCCTCGATCCAGGGATTCTCGACTGGATGCAGGTAGGCGCCAACCGGTGGAGATTTTTGCAGCAGACCCTTCACGACTTGGACCAGCAGCTCCAGAAGCTTGGCTCCCGCTTGTTTGTGGTGCGGGGAAAGCCCGCTGAGGTTTTCCCAAGGATCTTCAAAAGCTGGCGAGTGGAGCTCCTGACTTTTGAGTCTGATATAGAGCCATATTCCTTGGCCAGAGATTCTGCAGTCCAGAAGTTGGCTAAATCCGAAGGAGTAAAGGTGGAAACCCACTGCTCTCACACGATATTCAATCCAGAGTTGGTCATAGCCAGGAATCTTGGCAAGGCGCCCATTACCTATCAGAAGTTCCTAGGCATCGTAGAGAAGTTAAAGCTGCCTACGGTCCTGGGTCTACCAGAAAAGCTGAAAGGAGAAGGTCAACCTCCAAAAGATGATATAGAAGAGAAAGATTCCGAGGCATATGATTGTCCCACAATGGAGCAGTTGGTTAAGCGCCCAGAGGAGTTAGGTCCCAACAAGTTTCCTGGAGGCAAGCGATAATTTTGTGCATTGTGAAACCATACTAACAACTTCCTTATTTTGACCAGGTGAAACCGAAGCTCTGCGCCGCATGGAGGAATCATTAAAAGATGAACTTTGGGTGGCTCGGTTCGAAAAACCCAACACGGCGCCAAACTCCCTCGAACCCAGTACTACAGTATTAAGTCCCTATCTTAAATTTGGATGCCTAAGTTCTCGCTTGTTTCATCAACGTCTCAAAGAGATCCTTAAGCGGCAGACGAAGCACTCCCAGCCTCCGGTGTCTTTAATAGGCCAGATGATGTGGCGGGAATTTTATTACACAGTGGCCGCTGCAGAACCGAACTTTGACCGCATGCTTGGCAATGTATATTGTCTTCAGATCCCTTGGGAAGAGCACCCAGATCACCTGAAAGCTTGGACATATGGAAAGACTGGTTATCCCTTCATTGATGCCATAATGCGGCAGTTACGACAAGAGGGTTGGATCCACCACCTGGCCCGCCATGCGGTGGCCTGTTTTTTAACACGCGGTGATCTTTGGATCAGTTGGGAGGAGGGTCAGAGAGTGTTCGAGCAGCTGTTGCTGGACCAGGACTGGGCCCTGAACGCTGGCAACTGGATGTGGCTTTCCGCCTCGGCCTTCTTTCATCAGTATTTTCGCGTCTACAGCCCCGTGGCGTTTGGCAAAAAAACTGATCCCCAGGGTAACTACATAAGGAAGTATGTGCCGGAACTGGCAAAGTATCCAGCTGGTTCCATTTACGAGCCCTGGAAGGTTTCCCTGGCAGACCAGCGAGCATACGGCTGTGTTCTAGGCACAGACTATCCCCATCGAATCGTCAAGCACGAGGTGGTCCATAAGGAGAATATTAAACGAATGGGCGCCGCCTATAAGGTTAATCGCGAGGTTCGCACTGGCAAGCAAGAGGACTCCTTCGAGGAGCCAGAGCCTTCCTCTTCCGGCAAGAGAAAGCTTGGAAAGACAACTGGAAATTCCGCTAAGCGGAAGCGTTAAAATACCCTCAGAAAGGGTAAACTGTTTGTAAATGACTTTGAATTTATAGGTGTTACTAAGGAGAAGTTAATTTTTGACTATTAAATTACCAAAAGATATTAAAACATGTTTGTATTTATTTACTCTAGTCTGTGTACTCTAAGGAGACTCGTTTTTTGGGAATCACATTAGCCTTGAAGCTAAATTTCGAACCGAACGAGTTGTGTCAGTTGAGGAGGCACTATTTCACTTCAGTCATAAAACAAAATTCGGCAATTTAAGACCTATCAATTTTAGTTTGTAAAATAAAGTAAAATTTTCCCTTTCGTTATTCAAGAATTTAAAGATATTCAGGTTAGTAATACAAAACTTAACATTAACAATGTTTCGCAACCTGTGTATGCTGAGGAACAAGCTGGCGCTCCAGCACCGCCTGGTGTCGCGATTGACATCTCGCTCGTATGTCTCCAGGGGTCACTGGTACCGTTGCGCTACCGGCCGCTCTACGGGCGTAGACGGTGTGACCTACACTGACATTAATGTCAATGATCTAGCCGAGGGTGACATGGAGTTTACACGTAATTTCCTTAACGCGGTGTCAATGGATCGTGGCCATTCTCAAGAAGGGGTAGAACCTGAGGTGAGTGTTAATATATAGCCACAGGATATGTCTATGTTAAAATTGTATAGCCCGAGGTAAAGGATGAAACTCCATCGGTCTCGGAGCCAATGTCGATCGATACTGAGACACCGCTTGCACCTGGTGTTCCCAGTTCCGTTTTAGGCATAGACGGCAATCCTATAGTGCCGATCGAAATCGATGGATGGAATCAAGACGACGATGAGGATCCGATTGTCCAGAAGAATAACCGCGATATAGACATCGGCAACGACGAAGAGTACAAGGCCCAGCAGGCTCTGCGTGTTCCGGAGGTTCGTCAGGCCCAAACGGAGTACAAGGGCATTAAAGTGAGGCTGCCGGAAACTGCCAACCAGGATGTGGGCACCTATCGCTTTCGTCGCGACCCAGAGGATAAGAAAGTCCTGGGCGATGACACACGTCTAGTCAAATTCGATAAGGAATAGGCAGACCGGGAGAAAAGCTAGCTGAAGAATAACCAAATTCCGAAAAGGACCTTTCTAAGCATCAAACCATGAATTTTGTTAACAATTTTAATGAATACAATTACTTTTCAATCGTTATTCTAGTTCTTTGGGATGGGAAAATTCTACAGACCCCCTGATCGACATTTAACCTGATTGGATCTTTTTTTTACTCTTGATTATCCGTTTAATTTTAAAGAAACGAATACATTATAATAATCTACCAATCTACAATGTCAGATTGACAAATATAGTACAAGGATGAGTAACAGTGTATATCCGACATTTCTCGGTTCTTGAGAAACACACAATCCTCGTCATCATTAACGTTGTTGGGTTCGCCGTGGTACCACTTGAGATAAGGAGTTTTCTTTCCGGATGCCCAAGACTCGAATTGACCTTCATAAGCCAGGTCATTGATATCCAGCCAGTAGGAGCTACCTTCATCGAGCTTGGCGCTGATGGCGTTTAGTTCTTCTTCATTTTGGATGACCGCCAGCTGTCCTCCCTTGTCCAGACAGAGTTGAATTGCCTTATACCAAGTTACCCGAAAGTCCACTTCTATGTGAAAGTACCTTGAGCCGATTTGAATAAACCCGTCAATTTTCGGTTTTGGCTTTGCCAGTTCATTTTCGATTTGAATTATTTTATCCTGCAAGGTCTTTATCCTGGTTTCGGTCTCATTCCACTTCTGTTCATAGGTGCTATTGGGATCCAAAATTTGATCACAGAAACCAAAACACTCTTGAACCGGATTTTCTACAGTATTAGCCAGCGATTCGTATTTTTGCCAAACGAAAATGATAAAAAATAGTAACCTTGTGATGTCCATTTCAAATTAGTTTTATGTGTTATTAGGAGAAAAGATTTGTTAAGCTTGAGGTCTGTTCTTCAACTAAAAAGAGTAGTTCATTGTTAAAAAGTTTATAGTCTTACTTATGGCTAATCAGTAAAAAATAGACCGGATGTTTGCGAGCTTTATATATTTTTGGAAATCTACATGTGTAATTTAAATATATTTTTTTAGCAGGCAGAACAGCTAGCTGTACAATATCTAATTTACAAAGAGAAGAACCATTATAAAAATGAAACCATGATTCTTGTTCAAAATTTGAAATATATAAAAACTTTTTGAAATTAAATTTGATTTTTAAATTTTTACAAAACCTTCTGATTTTCTTCTAGGCAGTCTAGCTGACTACCCGATTTATAAAAAACTACAAAATACGACTATGTTAATTGTTAAGAGTGAATTTTTGCCAATGGACACCACATCCATCGTATCTTGATTCAGAATTTTAATTTTACCAACATACTGGGCAGTGAAGCACTAAGGAAAAATGAAAAAATTGGCAAGCCTTTGATGATTATTATCGGGCTGACAGCAAATCGGACACGGCCATTGGCCACTGGAACTGTCAGTTTTTGCCTGGTCATGCTTAAATGAAAGTCCAATCGTATAGCATCTAAAACCACTCGCTCTATGGCACAAAAGATCGTTTTGCGGTCCATGGCAACCGAAAACGGGGCAAACACTTCGCATAAATTGCATTAAAAGCGTGCATTCGTAACAATGGACACGGACATAAACATGCTGCAAAATGTTTGTAGGCCCCGAAACCAAAATTGAATTTGTGGTTTTTGGCCTGCGATTCGAGGGCGGGGCACTTGGGCGTGTGGTATATGCAAATAACTGTAAATGAAGCTAAAATGCGGTTAGTACAATAAAAATGGCTGGGGCTTGCATTGGAAACCGATTCATTATAGACAGTAAGGGGGCATTACACTAAGGAAATGATTCCTTACCATCCTTGAATAGATTTTAAAGAATTAATATTTGAAAAAAAAGTCAACATAGTATTTTTAATAATTTTATTCTATTTTATGCTTGTTATTTGAAACAAAAGAATCAATCTACCACTCTACAACATCTGATTGGCATATATAGTAAGCGTTTCTGGTGCAGATCTGATCCCACATGGCTTTTTTTGAGAGTAGCACACAATCCTCAATGTCAGAATTGGTGCCGGGTCTGTCATAAAACCACTTGAGATAAGAAGGTCTCTTCCCGGATGTCCAAGACACGTATTGACCTTCGTAAGCCAAGTCGTTGATGTCCAGCCAGTAGGCACTATTTTCATCGAGCTGGGCGTTAATGGCGTTCAGTTCTTCCTCATTTTGGATGACCGCCAGTTGTCCTCCCAATTCTCGACAGGATTCAGATGCACTGAACCAATTGGTGTAATGATAATCTACGATCTGGAAGTACCTTGTGCCGATTTTTGAAAAACGATTAGTATTCGGCTTGGACTTTTCCAGTTCTTTTTCAATTTCAGCTATTTGATCCTGCAAGGTCTTAATCCTGGTCTCGGTCGCATTCCACTCTTCTTCATAGGTGTTATTGTGATTCAACATAAGATCACAGAAGCCATAACATTGCTGTACAGTATTCTCAGGGGTTTTAGCCAGTGACTCGTAATTTTTCCCAAAGAAAATGATACAAAATAGTAAACTTAATATGTTCATTTCAAATTTATATTATAGGTTATTAGGAGTAAAGATTTGTTAAGCTTGAGGGCTGTTCTTCAACTAAAAATTATAGTTATTTGTTGCGGAGTTTATAGTCTTACCCTTGGCTAATCAGTAAAAAAATAGGCAAAGCCGGATGTTTGTTTGGAAAACTCATTTTTTTTGTTTTTGCACCAAAAGAATGTGTTTTAGTTTGTGGGAGTAGTAATCAGTAAGTAACAAAAACAAAGTCATATATGGAATATTGTGAATTTCGTAATATTATTTTTCTCAGCTAAGAGTTTATCAACTTTTTGGCATTTAAATATTTTTCTTGATGCCTGTTTATCGGTGTTTTTATTTCATTTGTATAAGGATCCTTTGAAGTGTAACACATGTTAAGATATCCAGAGATAGACAGCTAGCAGCAAACCCATCAAAGTCATCAACAGCAATATCCTACCGACAAGGACATGGACATGCAACATGAACACGGACTCGAATTCTCGCAGATGGATACCTACTCATTGCCGTCAGTTTGTGCCTGGAAATGATGTGGTTGGTTAGTTGTGGTCGGTCCTTGTGTTGGGGCAACCGACCCAGTGGTTATTGTAGCTGCGTTGGAGTGACGACTGGATGTTGGACAACTTTAATTTTTTTTTTTTTTTGTGTACAGTCAGTTGTAACGGTTGCTGACTTTTACTGGAACTGGTTAAAGTTAGATCTACCGGCAGTAGGTCAGAGCATCAGACATCCAACATCCAAACTCCAACATCTGACATCAGCGGACGCCCGACAATTGCGGTTTTGAAATGAAAACGCCATCAGTGGTGGCTATTTTTGGCTGTTTTGGTGAAAGGAGAGAAGGACTTTTTATCATTCTTCTGTAAAAGCTTGTCTCAGAGAATGTGTAGAAAGAATAATGGAATATTACAAGGCATAATTCAGCTTGAAATTTCGACTTCAATTCAGTAAAAATAATCGATCGATTGTCCAGCCGAGTTGCAATCAAAGCAATCAGCATCAAATGAACCTTACAGTCCCCCCACTCCCTACATGTGTATGTATGTACATCCTGCTTCCAACCAGAGGCCATCAACATCATCATTATCATTATCGTTATCATTGTTGGTCGGCTGGCATTTCCGTTGGGCTGGAGTTGGCCAAGGGCCATTACAGAAGTTGACCAACTTTTAATACCCGCACTGGCCATGTTGCGCATGTGTAATCCCATTAAAATCCAATAAGTTAAATTATTTCCATTATTATTATGTGAACGCACTTTGTCGCCGTTCGTCCATCAGCTCGTCTGCCCCCTCTAGCCCACTATCCTCCAATCCAGGGCATGTCCTTTTGCATCCTGTGAGATAACTGCTCATGTGGGCGTTTATATCTCGTGTTGCTTTTGTTTACCACACTTTAATTTTACACGCAAAACATTTTTGAACACAAAGACATTTTCTTTTTATTTAAAATTTATAAACAACATACTGATTTACTTCATAGTTTTGGAAAATCAATCTTCAATGGCAGCTTCACATATAAAGAAACGACTTTTTTCACATTCAAGGTCCCACATGTTATATTCGTAAAGAGCCACGCAATCCTGGGTTTCGGTGCCGTTGTCAGGTTCTCCCTGCGTCCACCTTACAAATGGAGCATGTTCTTCAGATAGCCATGTCCTGTAGACTCCTTCGAAAGCCAAGTCATTGATGCCCAGCCAGTAGGTGGTATTCTGTGCGATCAGGCCGTTGATTTCGTTTAATTCCTTTTTATTTTGAATGATCACCAGTTGACCTCCAATTTCTCGACAGGCTCCAAAAGCAGCAAACCAATTTAGCTTATTTACCTTTTCGAAGTACAAGTATTTGGAACTGATTTTTATGAATTTTTCAAGTTTCGGTTTTTGTTGAAATTTGACTGCCTGAAAATTCTTTAGTTGATCCTCCAGAGTGTCTATCCTTGATTCGGCTTTGTTCCACAATTGTGTAAAGTGGTCACTCTGATCCAGTATTGGTTTAATTTGATTACAAAAGCCATAGCACTGATCTACAGCATTTTGGAATTCTCCTACAGAACTCGAGTTCTGAGGAAAATCTGCCCGCGACCCGTAGCTTTTCAAGAAGAGAAGGATACAAAATAACACAGTTGCGGAATGCATTTAGATCTCAAAATATATTCCGACGATGCCACAAGTTTCAAATCTCTTTCCAAACTAAAAATGCTTTTAGTTGGTTAAGGCGCTTATGTATATTTGGTAATCAGTGAACAAAATAAGAAACTCATTTTTAAGAGGAAGTCTCTTATCTGCAATACCATTTTTGTTCCATGATTGAAGGCTTTATTTTTGTCAAAAGTTGCGTAAGGGTAAAGATTATGCATACATTCTTTATTCGTAAAAAAAATATTTGTAAATGGAGTTTGATCATGATCCAATATAGGTTATTTAATTTCAAAACCCATAGCATTGTTTTATGGAATGTTGCAGTTGTCTTCCCAAGGTCGAGTTCTTATGATAACCGGCTAGGGGCTCGTAGAGCACTAAATATAAAAAAATATATTTATGACAAGCTTGTTGGCTTGGCTTTTAAATGTATTATAACGATGCTTAAAGCTTAAAATCGGATGTATTTTTTTGGCTTTTCAGTAGAAAAAAACGAGAGTATATCATTTATTAAAATAGAGTCACATTGTTTTAATAGTTAATTTTGCTCATTTGTATTTATTTGTACATATTTTTACATAATTTTGGAAAATCATTCTTCAATGACTGCTTCACATATATAGTAATGCTTTTTATCGCATTCAGTATCCCACATTCTAGATTCATAGAGGAACAGGCAGCCCTGTCCGTCTTTGTCAAGAGTTCCGTCCATCCACCAGTCACCAAAAAATACTTCTTTACTAAAGGGCCAAATCCGAATTTGTCCTTTATCGATCAAGTAATTGTTGGCCAGCCAGTATTGGCTACGTTTTTGGACTAGGAGGTTGATTTCAAACAGTTCACTATCATTTTCGATGATAGCCAATGAGGCTCCGATTTGTCGACAGGCTTGAAAAGCGGCAAACCAATTCAACTTGTTCACGTTTCCAATATGATAGTATCTTGATTCTAATTTAATAAATTTTTCAAGGTTCGGTTTGGGTTTCTGGTTTTTTGATTTGAGGGCAGCTATTTGCTGTTCTATATTTTTAAATTGAGTTTCAAAAACGTCGATCCTGTTTTTGCCCAAGATCATCTGTGGTTGATAGATACTAACATGATTCAATAAAGGTTTTATTTGATCACAAAAACCATAGCACTGTTCGACAGAATGTTGCAGTGTCCCTATCAAGCTGGAGTTCTTAGGGAAATCTGCCAGCGTCTCGTAGTTTTTCAAAAGAAGAAGGACAGTAAATAAAATATTTCCGGTAAACATTTCTGTTTAGAAATGTATTCCGACGATGCTTTAAGCTTCAAATCTGATTCAAAACTAAAATTGTTTCAGTTCGTTTAGGCGTTTAGGATTTTTTGACTTACAAATCACTAAACTAGCATGAAATAGGTTTTGTTGGCTTATCAGTAAACAAGCAGGAAGTATACATACCACTAAATTCCATTTCTTAAAATAGAGACTCTTCAATAAAAGAACAAGAAGTAAGCAACAAAATAACATTCCCTTATTAGTTATAATTTTTAATTATATTTATTGCGCATATAAAAAGAATATATCTGTATAAAATTTTTGAATATTAATCTCCAATGACTGCTTCACATATGAAGTGATGATTTTCATTACAATCACAATCCAAAAATTTTTCTTCGCAGAGGGTAACACAACGCTCATAGTGTCTACTTCCATCGTACAACCACTTCAAAAAAGTTTCATTGAATTTGTCTTTTAAAGAGGGCCAAACCTCGAAACGGTCTTCATAAACCAAGGCATTGATGCCTAGCCAGTAGCGGGTTAGAAATGGGACAAGTTTTCTTTTTTTTGAAGTGATTTGTTTCAGTTCATTTTCATCTTGAATGACAGCCAGCTTACCTCCGATTTCTCGGCAGTATTGATAAGCGGCAAACCAATTTAACTTGTTCATCTCATCGATGTAAAAGTGTCTGGAACCAATTTTGACAAATTTGGCCAGGTCCGGTTTTGGTTTGCGTTTTGATGCCTCAAAGGCAGCTAGTTGGTCTTCCATATTTTTAAGGCGTTTCTCAAAAATATTAACCCTGGTATCTTCCTTGTTCCGCACTGGTTGAAGCTTTCCAATATGACTCAGTATTGGTTTTATTTGGTTACAGAGGCTATAGCACTGGTCTACAGAATCTTTCGAATCTCTTACAAAGCTCGAATTCTTTCCAAAAGCTGCCAACGACTCGTAGTATTGCAAAAGGAGAAGGACAGCAAATAAAATATTTCCAGTAAGCATTTTAGGTCAGAAATGTTTTCCGACGATGCTTTAAGCTTCAAATCTGATTCAAAACTGAAATTCTTTCTGTTCGTTTAGGCGTTTAGGGTTCTTGACTTACAAATCAGTAAACTAACATTCAGTATATTATGTTGGCTTATCAGTAACAAACAGGAGGTACTTCAAAATTCCATTAATTAAAATAGAGACTCTTAAAAATAAGAAAAAGAAGTAAGTCTCAAAATACCATTTCCTTTCGATTATATTTATTTGTATATAAAAAACATATTTTTATAAAATTTTTGAAAGACTGCTTCACATATGAAGTGACGATTTTCATTACAATCACAATCAAAAAATTTATCTTCGCAGAGGGTCACACAACGATAATGGTGGGTATTTGTAGGGGACAACCACTTCAAAAATATTTTATTTGATTGGTATACTGAAGAGGGCCAAATGTTGAAATGTTCTTTTTCCACCAAGGCGTTGATTCCCAACCAGTAGCAGGTTAGCCATAGACCCTTGAGCCATTTGACCATGTTGTGGATTTGGTTCAGTTCTGTTTCATCTTGAATGATAGCCAGCTTACCTCCCATTTCTCGACAGGCTTTAGAGGCGGCAAACCAATTCAACTTGTTCATCTTATCGACATAAAAGTATCTTGAACCAATTTGAACAAATTTGGCAAGGTCCGGTTTGGGTTTGCGTCTTGAAGCCTCAAAGGCAGCTAGTTGGGCTTCCATGTTTCTGAGGCGATTCTCAAAAATGTTAATTCTGGTTTCGCTCCTGTTTTGTAATGATTGAACATTGCCGATATGACTCATTATTGGTTTTATTTGGTTACAGACGCCATAGCACTGATCTTTAGAAATTTGTAATTCTCCTACAGAGCTTGAGTTCTTGGCAAAATCTGCTAACGACTCGTAGTTATGCAAAAGGAGAAGGGAACCCATTAAAATATTTGCGGTAAGCATTTTAGTTCAGAAATGTATTCCGACGATGCTTTAAGCTTCAAATCAGTTTCAAAACTAAAAGTACTTTTGCTTCATTTAGGCGTTTAGGGATTTTGGTTTTACCTATCACCAAATTAAGAGGAAGTATATTTTTTTGTATCAGTGAACAAACAGGAAGCATACCATTAAATGCCATTTACTAAAATAAAACCGCTTATCTAAAGGAAAAATAAGTAAGTCATTACAAAATGCTAATCATTTTAAGTTACTTTTATTTTTACAAAAGAAACACATTTGTCTACATATTTTAATTCAATCTTCAAGGACTGCTTCACATATAAAGTGATTATTTTCATTACAATTTCTATCCATAAATGTAGATTCGCCGAGCGTCATACAAAGTTCATAGTAGTCACTGCCAGAGTACTTCTCAGTTCTAAATGGTTCTATTTTTTTACCTTTAGAGGGCCAAATCTGAAAACGTTGATGATTAATCAAGGCATTGATGCCTACCCAGAACTTGGGAACCCAGTCGACAAGTTTGTTGATTTCCTTCAATTCTGCTTCATCTTGAATGAGAGCCAGCTTACCTCCGATTTCTCGGCAGTATTTATAAGCGGCAAACCAATTCAACTTGTTCGTCTCATCAATGTAAAAGTATCTTGAACCAATTTTAACAAATTTGGCTAGGTCCGGTTTTGGTTTTCGTGTTGAATCCTCAAAGGCAGCTAATTGGGCTTCCATATTTTTGAGGCGTTTCTCAAAAATGTTAATTTCGGTATCTCCTTGGTTCCGCACTGGTTGAAAATTTCCGACATGACTCAGTATTGGTTTTATTTGGTTACATAGGCCATAGCACTGATCTTTAGAAATTTTCGATACTTCTACAGAGCTCGAGTTCCTCCCAAAATCTGCTAACGACTCGTAGTTTTGCAAAAGAAGAAGGAAACTAAATAAAATATATACGGCAAGCATTTTAGCTTAAAAATGTATTCCGACGATGCTTTAAGCTTCAAATCAGTTTCAAAACTAAAAATGTTTTCTGTTCGTTTAGGCGTTTCTGTTTTTGGACTTAACTATCAGTAAACTTCAATCAACACATGAAATTTTTTTTTGGCTTATCAGTAAACAAACGAGAACAATTCTACTATTTGCCATTTATAGACTTCCTAAGAGAAAAAAAATTATTGGGCCGACATAGTTTATCGTTTATATACAGTTTATAGTTTATATCACCATACTTATAAATATTTTTGTGTAAAAGAAACATGCATGCAAATAATTTTTGAAAACCAATTTTCTAGGACTGCTTCAAGTGATAATTTTCACAACAATCGAACATTTTATACATGCAAAGAGTCACACAAAGCTCAAGGTGGTCAATCAGCAAACCACCACTCTTTGTAAGTTTTCAAGTTGTAATGTGTCGTAAAATAGAGTCGTAAAATATCTTTTTATCAGTCCCAACGACTGTCGGAACTTTTTATTGTAAAATATTTATATTTGTGGCCATATTTTTATCCCTTATATTTCTTTATCAAAATTTTGACAAATTGAAGTATTTTACAATTATTTCAAGTGCATGGTCAACACTTTCGGCCAAAATCTGCAACACTTCAAACTCTACTGGCAGTTTCAGTTTCATCTCCCTGCCGGAGTTCGAATGTGGTAAATTTGCCCATTGTACCCCCCCGAGTCACTGATTGTTGGCTATTAAATTGCATTACTGTCGTGCAATCATTATGATTGCCATTGCCGTTGTTGTATCCATTGTGTTCAGTAATTTGCGTATATTTTTTAATTACTGGGATGCCTGGCTGAAAAGCTTTAACAAAACTTTATTTAAAGTAAAG